AGTTTGGGATTCAGGATACACGCTGGTTCTGAAGATCCAAAGATAGCTTAGTCAACTCCTGAGAGGAAAACCCAGATTCAGGTCCCAGCGGTGTTCTCTTCCTGAAAAAGCAGGGAACAACTGGGGAGGCAGTAATTCCTGTCTCTTTGTGAGGAGAACGCTTCACCCTTGTGTTGATCAGAAGCCTCATTGGCTAGATACACAGCACTGAAGAAAGAGAGAGCTCTTCCTTCTTTCAATGGCATGGCATGATTGGAAAGATTTTTACCACCCTTTTTTCATTCTGATATCTCTCTTATGAGCCTGGGGTTTTATGGCCAGACATAGAAGCCATCTTTTGGGGGGACTCTCTAGCTAGGACAGATGTCCTACAGTGCACCACATATGGGATGTTAGAATTCTGACTTTGTTCAAAGAAAGAGGATTTGAAATTTCTAGAGGATGAGGGAAAATGGACTTTTGTAAAAACAAAGTATGCTTTGTTAAAGAGTTTGACATGTCATGACTCTGATCCTAACAAAAATATTTGGTTTTTTCAATTAAAACCAAACCCAGCCCAGAGAAAGCAGTTGGCTTACAGCCGCTCGTTTCTGAGGAGCTGCCTAGCGCTCAAACTAAGAAGAGCACAAGTCAACATGGTCACCCCTAACACGAGGGGAGACACTGCCAGCTCCCTCACGGGGGCACTTTATGGTTAGGCCCTTATTTAGTGTGTGGCCCAGGTTAGAATACAGAACACCTGCCTTTGTCATCCACAAAAACCACAGAGGATGAAATTCTATTCCTGTGCAAACAAGCTGTGGGAGTTGTGGAAATTCTTGGAAAGCATGAGCTCAAAGGTATGAGAGATCGTTTCCAAAACGCAGCATATCAAACTGCTATTTAGAAGTCGCTTCTGGTTTTGAGTGTGTGTATTTATATCAGTATTTTGAATTTTAATGAAGGATTGGGAAAGTTAATGTGGGCGAAAGGATAACAGCAGAGAAAATTCCAAAATAGGCAAGATTGAACAGCAGAATGTTGGCCATGGTTTCTGAATGCTAGGATCCTAGGTAAGACATTTTTTCTCAAATCTGTGCAACGTGGAGCAAATTCCTGACCCCATCTCACCCGCTACCTTAGGGCTTTTGTTCTTCTCTGAAAAGTTAAGAAAATAAAAGAAAGGAGGTATCTTGCTCAATTCTAGTTGCTGTCCAATCTCCTGACTTTTAAAATTAAACTTCTGATTTTGAGATAATTGTACATTAGCATGTAATCGTAAGAAACAACATAGAGGGCCAGCCCGCTGGCGGGTGGCACAGCAGTTAAGTTCGCATCTTCCCCTTCAGCGGTCTGGAGTTCACCGGTTGGGATCTCTGGTGTGGACATGGCACCCCTTATCAAGCCATGCTGTGGTAGGTGTCCCACATATAAAGTAGAGGAAGATGGGCACGGATGTTAGCTCAGGGCTAATCTTCCTCAAAAAGAAATAATAATAAATAAAATAAAAAGGAAACAATATAGAGAGATTCCATGTGCCTGTTACTTACTTTCTCCCTCAGTGGTAATGTCTTGCAACTATAGTACAATGTCACCACCAGGATATTGATGCTGATACATGCTCAAGGTACAGAACATTTCCATTACCAGAAGAATAACTCATAGTGTCCTTTTATAACCACCCTACAACCCTCACTCCCTCCTCAACCCCGGGCAACCACTAATCTGTGCTCCTTTGCTATGGTCTTCTCATTTCAAGAGTTTTAGATAAATGGGATCATACAGTATATAGCCTATGGGATTGGCTTTTTTCAGTCGGCAGAATTCTCTGGAGATTCATCCCGGTTTTTGCATGTATCAGTAATTGATTCCTTTTTGTTGCTGTGTAGTATTCCATGGCAACCACAGTTTGTTTAACCATTAATCTGTTGAAGGACATCTGGGTTGTCTCCAGTTTGGGGCTATGATGAATAAATCTGCTATAAACAGAAGTTTTAACTTCTCTGGAAAAATGCCCAGGAGTGCAATTGGTGGGTTGTATGATAGTTGCATGTTTAGTTTATTTTTTTTTAACTGCCAAATGTTTCCCAGAGTAGCTGAACCATTTTACATTCTCATAAGCAATATATGAATCATCTAGCTTCTTCTCATCCTCATCAGCACCTCATGTTGTCATTATTTTTTATTTTAGCCATTGTGATAAGTATATAGTGATATCTCATTAAGGATGTTGAACATCATTTCATGTGCTTATTTGCTATCTGTATATCATACTCGCTTAAATGTCTGTTCATGTCTTTTGCCCATTTTCTGAATCTTTGTTTTATTGTTTTGAGAGTCTTATATTCTAGATACTAGTTCTTTGTCAGATATGTAGTTTGCAAATATTTTCTCCTAGTTTATACCTTATATTTACATCCACTTCAATACGGGCCAAAGTTCTTAATTTTGATGAAGTCCAGTTTATCAATTCTCCCGTTTATGGATTGTGTTTTTAGTGTTAAGGCAAAGAACTCTTTGCCAATCCCTAGATCCCAAAGATTTTCCCCATTTTTTTCCTAAAAGTTTCATAGTTTTACATTTTACATTTACATAGTGATCTATTTTGAATTAATCTTTATCTAAAGTGTGAAGCTCAGGGCCGGCCCCATGGTCAAGTGATTAAGTTCGCACACTCCACTTCGATGGCCTGGGGTTCACTGGTTCCGACCCTGGGTGCAGACCTACGCACCACTCATCAAGCCAGGCCATGGCGGCATCCCACATAGAGGAACTGGAATGACTTACAACTAGGATATATAACTATGTACTGGGGCTTTGGGGAGAAGGGGGAAAAAAGAGAGAGGAAGATTGGCAACAGATGTTAGCTCAGGGTCAATCTTCCTCACCAAAAAATAATAATAATAAATAAACAAAGTGTGAAACTCATAGACAATAACTGTTTTACTCCTGCCAAGCACCGCAGAGGAAACCATTGCCTCACCTGCCACCCCCACCGGTGGGGAGCCTAGACCTCCACCCCGGTAAGGCTGTGCCTTCTTGAGCACCTACCATATCCCAGGAGTGGAGCAAAAACTCTCCAGATGTTTCAAATCAATGGCAAAGTCCCGGCTTTGAAGGTGGCATGGTGTGGCGAAAGAGAGAGCAGATACGAGACCCCAGCAGACTCAGTTAGAATTTGTCACTTTTTAGCTGCACGATATTGGGCAAACTGCTCCATTACTCTGGACCTCAGTTTCTTTATTTGTAGTAAGGTGATTTTGAGGATTAAATTAGATAAAATATGTGAAATGACTTGTGCAGGGGTGTTCAACAAATGATGTCATTCTTCTCCAAACGGATCCGTTGCAGCTGTTGAAAAATTAGCAATGGGCTGTTGTCAGAGAACAAAAAAAAAGCCAATTGTCTATAGCCAATCCTGAATTTTCTAAGGGCTAATTATCTGGTTTATAGATAAAGTAGGAACCTTATGCTCTTGCTTCCTAGCTTGGTGGCCAATACTTCCCCTAGTAACATAACTACTGGGTCCTAGTTAAATAAAGAAGGAAAATGGAAATTTTATTCTGATTCAGGTAAAATTTCTAAAAGATTGGAGGATTCAGAGGAAAAAAACTGATATGGATGGGAATGGATTTTTGTTTGTTTGTTTCATCAACTATCCTTAAGTCCTGGAAAATGTGAAATACTCATAAAATTAAATGCTATTAAATGTGAAGAAATTCTACCTGTTCTATCTGAAGGAAAAAAATTAAAATTGTCGGCTTATGTGGTTCAGTTTTTGAAACCATTCATGTTAAATTTTATAATTTTTAAACAAGTCAAATTGTACAAATTACCTTTGAGCTCCCTTATTGAGTAGTGTAACATTAAAAATTCAGCCATCACCTTTACTTTTATTCTCTCAGCACTTACCATTTTGTTCTTTCCATTTTTTTTTTTTCACCATCTCTTCTTTCTCTTGTAGGAAAAGTGTAAAATGGCCTCCCACTTCCTTTAAAAGAATTCTTCTCCCAGGAATACCTCCAGAACTCTGTCTGGGATTAATCACAGCGTGTTGGATCTGCCACAAATATTTTATTTTTATACAATTGATTTTAAACTAAATAAGCACCAAAGGCATTTCTAAAATGACCATATACAGAAAACACAGAGGAGCAGTGTGCAGGATGAGCGCTTAGGTAGAAGGTGGCCGGGGGTCATTTCTAATTTGTTTCTTGGAGTGTTGGGAAGACCATTAAGGCTCACGCACACATGCATCTCAGGTCCTTTTTAGTAGCATCTGCTTGAGCCACAAGCAGTCTCCCCAGTTACCATTAACCCCAACCCCAACATTGAACCCTCAAAACCTGGAACTCAGACACATTTCTCAGCCTCTAGAATTGAATTTGTCTCTCATCAGTTTACTGTCTTATCATTTAGCCAGAGCATGCTTTGAAGAGAAATAGCTAATTCTTATAAAGTAAATTATTACTTCTTGGTGTATATATTTTGAAGTTTGATCCTGGCATTGTTCACAATGTTTATCGTGTTAAAATTAAACAAAAATCTTTTGACAACGCAACTAGAATAAGCCTATGTTGATACTGGATATAAAACCTGCAAATTAATCTAAGTTTGTGGAAGTCAATACTTTAATTGATGTGGGCATTCGATGCCCTACCCGAGGCACTGCTTCCTGGGGTTATCTGCTAACACGTGATTCTCATCGCATTAGACTATGGGGGAAAATGTAAAAAAATTCTCTTCACAGGACTGATGTTATACTAAATATTCACAAACTATAATAAATCAACCTAAAAATTTATCTAATAATGTAGATTGAGAAACCCATTGTTTGGCTGACTTAATCTCTCTCCTATGGTAAAATCAACTGAATTTGGATATTTTATGTGCATCTTTTCTTTAATCTCCTTTTCCATTGCTGGCCACACCCAATGAACTAAATTATAACTCTCTGCTCCTATGTTTTCATCATATTAAATGCTCTCTCTTTTTTCTGTTTTTCATTTTTACTATCTCAGAATCCCATTTCTCAGAGGAACAGCTCATCTCGACAGCCAGGGAGAGAGCCTGGATGCGCAAGGTAGGTTTCAGTATCAATCATGTTGTATGATTCCCTGTTTACAGATTCAGCTGGAGTCTCATAAATGCCTCTGTAACAAATCTATTTTCAAAATTCCATTATACAATTAAAGCAAATAGTTGAGTAAACATCCTTCGTTAAAACATTATTTTTTAAACTATATTCCATTTCCCATGTGTACTAATGGCTAATTAACTGCTATCAGCAATTCTTCTAAAAATGGTTGAGCCAATTAAAGTTTAATTTGGAGATATTATTAGTGATAAGTGGAAGAAGAGAATGTCAAGATATAGTCAAATGACCTCATGATATTTCTAATTGTGAATAAGTGATTATTTGATCTTGTTAAAAATCAAGGCAACTAGGGCTGGCCTAGTGGCACAGAGGTTAAGTGAGCATGTTCTGCTTTGGTGGCCCGGGGTTCATTGGTTCGGATCCTGAGTGCGGACGTGGCACCGCGTGGCAAGCCATGCTGTGGTAGGCATCCCACATATAAAGTAGAGGAAGATGGGCATGGATGTTAGCTCAGGACCAGTCTTCCTCAGCAAAAAGAGGAGGATTGGCAGATGTTAGCTCAGGGCTAATCTTCCTCGGAAAAAAAAAGTCAAGGCAACTGATCGATTGACTACAGTAGAGAGAGAGAGAGGAATTTCGAAAAGGAGATGAAGACCCTGAGAGTCCTATTTTTTCAGTTTGGGATTTGTGCTTGAGACATAATCACTTGACCTGTTTTTTCCCACTGGTATTCTGAGTCTCTAATAGTGCCTTCCAGCTTCACTTCAAGGAGCTCCCTAGAACAAAGGAACAATTAACTGAAATTCCACCAGATGGCAATATTTGGAAAGCCATCCAGAGAGGTTTCCAAGCTATGAGCTGCTATTGTTCACACAGAGAATAGTCTCACAAAATGTAACGTCCTAAATTTCATCAAAGGTGCTGTAAACATCTTTCATTTTTATTTTTCCCCACAGCATTAAAAATTTTTCCTAGAAGTGGGGAAAATGTGTATTGGGGCTATGTGTTGTATTTTTTTTTCCATTCTGGAATGATGAAATTAGAAACTTCACTCTTAAATAATTCTCCAAACCATGTTGGTGAGTATTAAAAGCTCAAATCAATGGATAATATACCATAAATATTGAGGTCTTATTCTTATAAATGCTATGGTTGATGGTCATTTTTAAATTTTGAGAAGAGAAACCTAAAACTCTTCTCCCAAAGAAGAGTAGAATCTTAAGAAATTGCCTTGAAATTAAACCAAGCGAAATTTGCAAGTACAAAATTCTTATTTGTATTGATGTGAAATAATTAAGGTTTATTCCAGTGGATGAATAACCTTTCCCCCCTTTGCTTCAGTGAAAGTGGAGATATGTACCACGAGTGGTGTCCGAACAGCTGGACTCTTGAAGGACCAGAGCCGGCACTAGAGCACGGTCGGGACAAAGGGAAGGTGTCTGAGGGAAACTGAAACAGGAAGAACCAAAAAGAGGGGTCACCTAAGCTTTCTGTGTACTTAGGAAAGCAGCCCCTTACGAGGCAATCGAGTGTGCTCTGAGAGCTGCTCTTGTCCTTCTAGCCCTTCTCGTGGGGGCCCTGATGGCTGGTGTCTGGAACGGTCCTGGTTTGCTTCCGTTGTCCTGGAGTACAGCCTCATTCGCACCTCCTTTCACTCTCGAAAGTATCTCAGTTTGGATGATAAGTTATATGATCGTCTTATTTTCTAGGCTGGCATGTTTGAAGAAAGAGTAATAGAAAAAGTTGGTCCATTACCTAAACTGGGTGTCTCTTTATAAACCTGCTTATAAATCTGCGGCTACAGGACAAATGCTTTTTCTGTAAAGAGCCACATAGTAAATATTTTCTGCTTTGTGGGCCTTATAGTCTATGAATCACAACTGTTCAACTCACTGTAGCATGAAAAGACTACATCCACAATACGTAAATGAATGGGTTTGGCTGTGTTCCAAAAACTTTATTTACAAAAACAGGCAGCCAGTGGCATTTGGCTGGCAGGCCATAGTTTACAGATTCTCGTGAGATAATACATGGTACGGGGATAGGAGATGGTAGAGAATCAAGAAGACGGCCATCCTTAATTCCTCTCCCTTCTCTTCATATCCGTTCTAGATTTCGGCCTCCTTATTTAGCCCTCTCAGAAACTAGTATTCATAGTTTCCTTGAGTGGGTAATCTGGGATCCTGGAATCCTTTGCTGGGTCTAGCTGCTTCTTTTTCATCCAAATCTGTTTCTGCACCATGTGCAGCACGCCTGTAACTTATACCTCGTGACACTGAATGGCATCCCTATTCAGGCATCACCTGAATCCTAAACTTAAATACTGGAGCAAAAGCTATTTAGTAAACAATGTCATTTTATGCTTTGGTCCTCACTAAATAACTGTCCGTGGAAAATAGAGCTACATTAAGGAAAGGTTAATGTTGACTCTACCAAATTTTTTAGCAGAAATATAACAAATTTAAAGGAAACTTTGTGGGAAAAAATTGCCTGTCAAACACCATCCCAAAGTAACCTTTTTTTTTTTTTTGCATATTTGCTCTGCCATAAGTATTCCTATTTTTCTACAGCAGTTATAGTGCGTGTGAACTTTGTGTTTACTTAGCAACAGCCACAAGCACCTTTCATGAGTCCTCAGAACTATCATTAGAATAGAATAGTATGTTGTATCAATGTGCTATAATATCTTTCAATTTTTTGCTAAAAAAATGCTATGCTAACTTTTTTGGTAGACTTTGTTGTTATTTTGATTGGTGGGCTTCAATTTAATTTGTTTTTTTCTTTGTTTTTGTTTATCTTCTTAAGACAAAGTCCCAGAAGTGTGATTATTATTCAAGGATATGACCATTTTTATGACTTTGAATCTAAGTTTACCATATTTTTTCCTAAAAGATTTGGAGTACTTTACGAACATTTGCAGTTCAAGGGTACTAGCCTCACCACAATGTCATCAGAAATAACATTTACTCTATTCAATGATATTTCAATGTGTCCTATTTGTAAAGAACTGTGTGACTGTTTGGTATACATAAAGATGAATGATGTGCTCCTTGCACAAACATTTGAGTGCCTACTATGAACTCCGTATTGTAGGGTTTCAATGGAGAGCAGAAAATAGCTTCTGTTTCGGAGTTTGACCTTATTGGGGAGCTAAGATACACATAAATAATCATAATAAAATGCACAAGAAGAGACACACCATAGGAGTTAAAATATGATGGGAGTTTGGGAGGAGTGGGGGTGGGGGCAGAAATGACATCTGAGCCAAACCCCCCAGAGAAGTGAAATTGGGATACTCACAGATGGTGAGATTTGTCATTCATTCCATAAACAGTTATTGACTGCCAACTATGTGCCAAGTCCTGTGTTAAAAGCTAGGGATATAAAGGTGAACAAGACAGAGATGTTAGAGCTCACTATCTAGTGGAGTAGTTAGTCTTTAAAAAAATTGTAAGTATAAGTAGGATAGCTTGTCTAGGCACTAGGGTAGGGATGAAACTGGAGCTTTTAGAAGAGCTTTGTCATGGCTACTCTTTGGCACAGTCTTCATCATTAGTTATTGTGTCAGAATCTGTGGGAGATTCGCTTCTGGAAATTTGAAGGTTATCCTAGTTGTACCTGTACTGATCAACATTCCAATTAAAATTGGCCTACATTTACGGTTAGTTCCCCCAGTGAGTATGTTCACTGAGAATGCACAGGGCCTAGGGCTGGGATCAGCAAGACCTACATCCTGGCTCTTACCAACTAATGACTGAAGCAAATCACTAGGAATAATAGGGTTTCATTTGTGTTTTGTTTTTTAAACAGCTGGAAGGAACCTTGATAATAGTCTAATCAAACGCACACATTTTTTTTTCCCTTGGGTGAGTAAGATTGGCCCTGAGTTAACATCTGTTGCCAATCCTTCTCTCTTTGCTTGAGGAAGATTGTCCATGAGCTAACATCTGTGCTTGTCTTCCTCTATTTTGTATGTGAGATGCCACCACAGCACGGCTTGATGAGTGACATGTAGGTCCATGCATGGGATCCGAACTTGTGAACCCTGGGTGGCCAAAGCAGAACGCACAAACTCAACCACTATGCCTCCAGGCTGGCCCCTCCAACTCACTCACTTTACAGATGAATATTCTTGGCTAAGGAGAGTTGAGTGACTAGACAGGCGTCAGACATTTGGTGACAAAGCCGTGAGACCAGAACCTGGCTTCTGACTCTCGTGGGCTGCTTGCTCTCTGCTCATTGCCGTAATTTTTCCCTGCCTTGTCTATACCATTGAGGCAATAAGAACTAAGAAGAGAATTAGCCTAAGTATTCCTCATGCACACAGAAGCAATAATATGTATTTTACCCATCTCAGACTACAGAAATAAAGTTTTACTTTAGATATTTAAATTAAAATTTCATTTAAAAAGTAATGAATAGATGAGTGGTAGAAAGAGGAAAACTTGAAACAAATTCCTACATCTGCCATTTACCTCCTTAGGATCTGGGTGAATAACTTGACCTCACTGAGTTTGTATATCTTGAGCTTGTTGCGAGAATCATTTGAGGTAACATAAGTGTTGGATACATCATGGGAACCTGGCATATGTTTTTCTTTCTCCTCCCCTCCTAGAGCTACACGTTCTTCACGTTTCACCAGAAACATAGGACAAAAATTAGTTGGATATGCTATCATGGAAGCCATGGGAAAATAGCATTTCAAGAATGAACAAAGGGTCGATTAATTCCAAATGTTCCACAGAAGTTAACTAAGATAATGACTAAAAAGTGCTTTAGAAACAAAGTGATAGCTAGTGATCATGGTGAGGATAATTTCAATGGCAGGGCCAAAGTGAGACCCAGCATGCAAGATGTTGAGCAGTGAGGGAGAAATGGAGAAGTGGAGAGGGTAGGTTTAGATAAGCCTTAAGATATTTGAGTGGGACCTTCTTAAACCAAGAATAATTGGTTTAAGGTGGAAGAGACTTGAGTGGTTCAAATGC